ACACATTTTCTGCCAGCAGAGGTAAGGACATATTGTGCAGACTGCTATTAATCGGAAATCCAAAGATTAATTATTGTGTTACATTGTTTTTTGGTATACTTTTAGCAGTTATTGTATGATTGTTATAGCAATTAAGAGCTTTATATTATAGAATGGTCATCATTTCAAGTTTTTCCTGTACAAAAATACTTTGTCAGTTTAATGAAGAGTCATGTATACAGTATAAAGATAAAATGTTAGACTGAATTACAGCTAACTTATCGGGCTCCGAAAACATGCAAACTAAAAATTCTGGTCCACTGGAGACAACCATTACCTGTGCTTTTTTTTCAGACTAATTCATATACGCCCACGGAGGCTCCTGGAATTCCAGCTAAAGTCAGTTTACAGGGCATCTGCTCTCATTGGCACTAAACTCCACAATTCAAAGGAGAACTATGGCCTAACCCTTTTTGGCCATAGTTCTCTCCAGGGTCACAGGAGGATATATACTAATCTACTCCAGTGACCCAAAACTCAGTATATAGCGGGCTATTGCGCTGCAGTCGGGCTGGCTGATTGACAGCTGGCTCTGCCTTTTTAGAAGCAGAGCCAGCTGTGCCCGCCCCCCTCCCTCCCTGGTCTGTTCCTCCAGTCAGCACTAGAGAAATAGAGGGGGAGGGGGGGGGGAACGACTCCCTGTGGGGAGCGGTCACCGGCAGTCTCCGCTCTCCGTAGGGAGAGGATTGGGAAGTTGGCGATCGGTGGTATGTGATCGCCTACAGCTTCAGTGTCGCAGGTCGGCTTGAATTATTGGGTTGAGTGTTTTTAACTCGCCCCTATAATTCTCCTTTAAAAGTAAAATGCTCGACCCATTGCTGGCTACACAGAATCCCTGGCTTTGCCCTGTGTAAGCTGCACTCCAGCAAGGGAAATCACTACTGTTTACCTTTTATGACCCACTATACTTAGCTTAATCCACGGTCCTGTGATCTTTGGCTGAGCTGGTTCTAGCACGGGTGACTGGTGAGATACAGCTGATCTTGTTACCATCCCCTCACCCCAAAGTCATAACACTTGCACTGTAGTTGGTACCCAGTAGTTGTAATCTACACACAAGTTTTGTAAATATAAAAATAGATTTTATTCAAAATAGTTTTAAAACCTGGCCGCAGAATAGAAGCTCCTGTGAGGACTTTTCGAGCTCTTGGTTTCTCTTTCTCAATGCTGGCAACAGTGCATGGCCATTTCAATGAATTCACTGTAGCCAAGTAAACTGGCCGCATCCACATCATCACGATGGGACATGGGCGCTAATAGAAGTATTTTCTCACTACTTTATTTTAAGGCCCCAACAGCAACTCTTCTAAGTGGAATTGTGCCACTGGGTGCCCCAGGACTTTTGTCATAATATGCCACTATGGTGTGCACACTTGCACATTATGGCACTTACTCCTGGCATCTTATACTGAACGTCAGTGAACAATTTTTACAGAAATAGCAGGCAGATACATTTTTATGGCATAAGGGGCACAAACTCGCCTTTACTTAGTTCCACTTGAAGCTGGCCCTAAATTTACCATAGGCTGAATCAGGGTCTGGTGTGTATTCATGGAGGTCACTTGTATTGTTAGAAGTATTTCTTTGGAATTCAGGAGATGGTTCTTCCTGACTAGGCTGGAACCGGTAGGGTGAAAGGGCCTGCTGCTACATAAAACTCCCAGAAACCATTGATTAAACTTCCCTCTATTCCACAGTTTACATCACCTCTGAACCGAGCAACATTGGAAATTCCTACACCCCAAATCTACTGGAGACAGATGATGCCAAAGAAAAACACAAGAAGGACAAGAATGTTTTTAAGAAGTTTTTCAGGAAGTAACATGGGTAGTGTGGTGAGAGCAGCATTGTTGTCATGCACCATATGACATACACGCACTATAGATTTATATGCTGCTGAAATCTGAGCTGTAGCACCGGGGCAGAATGGGCAACTGCTGCTTAGAAATGGCAAACAGCCATTTGTGTGTAAAACCCATAGATGCCAATGTACCTGAGAAAAATATGGGAATATGATTACCCACAATATGAAAAAATGTAGGAGCACTTTGTTTACTGCCTGTCATGGCAAGTTGTTCATTGACTCCATTTCACATGGCAGAATTGGGAAGAGGCAAATTTCTAAACGGGGGAGATTGTCCTGCTACCATAGGAACACTTGGCAATAGGGAGACCAAACCATTACCAGCCTTATTCAATAGTGTTTATTCTTAAGTGCAGTCACTGTGCTGAAGTCAGCCAAGTACAAAATGAATAGTGATTGGTTGCTAAAGGTCACTGCACTTATGAGTAAGAACTCGTTATTGAATAAGGTCAACTATAAATGTACTAAAATTCAATTAAGTAACCATAATGCCTAAAAATTTCATTTTTAATTGGAGATATTCCACTGCAGCTTTGTTATAAGGTAATATATTACCTCGCTACACATTAAAAACATTGGTTGATGTGGGGTACTTCAGGCATTTTCATTAAATAAAACCCAGTCAGACTGAAAGTCATTCTCCAGTGGAGTGTGCCTAAAGCTGGACACACAGGTCAAATTTTGGCCAAAATTTAAATAGCGTTTGGTCCAGTCGGCTCCCCTCCATGTGACAAAAGTGGATTTTTTCAATAGACTTTTGTTGAAGCAGCTGGTCTGAAAATTCTCAGCCCAACAGTGACTGCAACCAATTAGCTAAAGTCACTGTTGGGGTATTCTGACAGGGGCACATTTGGTGCTGTCAGAATACAATATCCTAGTGACTTCACGGCACATGTTGAAGGTGGGAAGAGGCAGTAGAAGAGGCATACATAGCACCATGTATGGCCATCTTGTTACTTCCCATATAAACTGCAGCTAAGCAAGGCAGAGATTGTCAAACCAAGATGGAGGTTTTAATAAGACTTCTGAGATCTAACCAATCAAGAAATGATGGTCTGTGTACTGTAATTCTACCGCTACCTTTCTGGCCACAAAATGACTGACAATTGTCATGCACCCAGGGCAACCTAAGTCAACTTAGTTATTGGTAGCTATTGATTTCATTTATATCTGTGTCTCTACGTGACCGCTTAAATCTGCAAGACCAGGCCTTCTATTCTGCCAGAGACCTCATGCTGTGAGCCCGGAGGAGAGGGAGGTGCAGGCTTCAGGTCTTAGACCCAGCACACATTGCGAGACACAGGTAAATTAAAAAGTAAAAACCATGCCCCCCCTTGCTTCAGTGATCCACCCCACATCCATTCGTCTGGCATTGTCCCTCGACATGCTTACTCAGGGAACATTTTTACCAGCTGTGCAATTATCAATATTCTGAATATTTACATATATTTATTTTTTCATGATCTATTTTAATATCTAGATGCAATACATATGTAGAAATCAATGTTTGGCTAAACCTTAATTTAAAAACTGTACTAATTTAAAAGTGTTAATTAAAGAAAAGTACAAAAAAAAGTACAAAACCCCATTCAATTATGTCATTTTTATGAATGAATGTCTTGCTTATTGAAGAAAAAAAAATGAGGTACGTTTTTAGTAACACAAAAGCGATTGTATTATTTTTATGCTGTTTGTTTAGAATGCAGCAGTCTTGTCTTTTTAGTCTAACAGAGGGAGTAAGTGCTATCTGAATTCAGAAGATTAATATAAAATGTTTTTGGTGCAGTGGGTCAGGGATTGAGCTTGAGAATGTGCTTTACTTGCTGCATCGGGCTGCTCTTTGGTAGCAGCATGCAGGAGATCCAGACCGCAGTGGTCTGACACGTCCCCTGCACAGTGCTCCAACTAACAGTCCTCCAAGTCCTGAGCAACATTTTTGATTGGAGCACTAAGTAGGCGGGGTGTCCGTCTGCTAGGGGCCCAGGGCACTGCGTTCTGTAAGAGAACAGCAATCCGAAACTCCAGCATGCTGCCAACAAAGGACAGCTTGGTACAGTAGTAAAGCACATTATTTGCTTTTAAAGAAAATCTCCAGGAAAAATGTTTAACCCTTGCAGTGGGGCTAGCTCCACACTGCAAGGGTTAACTGCTTGTTTTTGTCTAAGTGTAAAAAAAACTGACCCACAGAGCTGGTTTGCTCTTAGACAGGTCCTTCCAGCCTCTCTCCCCCTCCTCTGCAGGATGAAATCCTTGAAGATACAAACTAAGGCTGAATCTCCAGGATACACTTTAACCCCTTCGTGACGGGAGACGTACAGTGTATGTCCCGGCACTTTCTGCCTATATGACTGGCCATGTACACTGTACGTGACGAGTTATATCAGGCTTTGTAATGCTGGTAACAGCTGATTCATTCATGAAATAATTAAGCTTTTTGTAAAAGCTTCTTCCTTTCATTAATGAAAGAATGAAGCCGTTACATGCAAATACAGGACCGCAATTTGCGATCCCGTATCTGACAGCTGAAAATAGCAGAGAGGTAGCAGTGACTCACCTCTCTGCTATTTGCTTTGACAGCTCGAGAGCCCGATGTTTAAATACATTTCACTCAAAAGATACAATGTATATCTAGAATCTCCCAGGACACAAAATGAGGCTGAATTTCAAAGAACACATTTTATTTATTAAATGAAATTAATAAAATAAATAAATATACAGGGTGTCTGTAAGACACTTTTTAATGTGGAATGTCATTGCTAAGATTTTAATGATCAGTTGAGTTTCCCTATAAATGTCAAAGACAAATTGCATCATAAAAATATTAAAATATTTATAAAACGGTTTATAAAAAGAACATTTGATCAGGTCTGGTTGTCTTTTGACATTACAACTGTATCTCCCATGAAGTGTAGCTGGTTGAACCTAACTTCTTAGAGACATTGGGGGGAATTAATACAAAGTTTTATCTCAACTGGTACAGCTGCCCATAGCAACCAATCAGCTTCTATCTTTAACTTTTTCTACACAGTTTAGAAAATGAAAATGTAAAAGCGGATTGGCTCAGACACTTTCTATGAATTCCCCCCATGTGTACACAAGATTTGGAAAGAATTAGACAGTTGGATGTATTCTGATTGAAAGCAAATTTTGTTCCTGACCCATATGTACAATCTAGCGAGGATGGATCTGTGTTTTGGCTCACGGTTTCTGTGGTTCAGACGTTGCAGCTCCTACGTTTCTGTTTGCGTTCTATGGTGGTACGCAAGGTCTGCAGAATCATTTCCTCGCTGTTCAGGGCGTTGTATTCTGTCAGTTTGATCAGTTTATCAAAATCTTCTTCAGTGTATGTGAATCGAAACACTTTGTAAGGTGAAGCCAGGCCAGACAAGGGAACGTCTCCTTCCTCCTTCTCCTGATCGGTTTCCCTCTCAACTCCTGCAGAGGAATAAACGTGAGCAATGGAGATTTTCATAGGTAGTTTATTCTTTACATGGTGTTAAATTCACACAAAACAAGCTCAGAAATTGTTCTTATCGTGGCAAGAGATGGGTAGTTTTATTTTATTAAAAAATATTTGGTGAAGCGGACATCTGGCCTATTGCTCTGCACAGTTACAATAGTCCTAATACCCACTTTAAAGTGACACTAAACTCAGGAGTTAAATCCTAAAAAATACATTCAAGTACCTAACTATGAACACAAATGTGTCTTATTTGTGTATCACTCGGCTGTAGATCCTCAAATCATCTCTGAATTGGTGCTGACACTGTCCTTCCTTCTGGAGGGTGGCTACTTTTGTTCCCCATGGTCCCTGTGTGTGTTGTAAAGTAGACACCGCTCCAAGCTCACTTCTATGGTGGAATCAATCTCTGGTTTAGTTTACTAATTTGTATTGAAATTAAAGTCCATCACGGGAGCGAGCTTGGAGTTGAAAGTGTCTTGTTATATCTGTTAGAAGTGCAAAAATACCTGTAGATCCTGCCAGAAATCCTGTGAACTGATAACTGTCTGTGCACAAGGAAAGGTAATGGAGATGAGGACAAAGGGGGGACGAGATGAGAAGAAGACTGTCTTCTGTCTAATCCATCAGAAATTCGGTAGGTGGGGATGACAACACATGCTTAAGCTGGCCATAGACACAAATGAAGAAGTCAACAGCTTCCCCTCCCTCCCTCCCT